TTTTGAGTGGGATTTAGACATCGGATTTGGATAAATTTGATACGAGTGATCTCGTGAGTGAATGGGTGATTGTATTTTGTGACTTTTACCCGATTTCGAGATGTATTCCCAAGGAGGCTTTTTGAACGGTTTTTTAATTTCTTATCTTAGCTTTGATTTCATTAGCTAGATTAGTTTCTTGTATTTATATTTATGCTATGTAATTGATTTTGGCTAGATTTGGGCCACTCAGAGCCGGATATTTGTGGAAAAGGCATTATGACTGATTGATTGAGCTTGGTTCGAGGTAAGTGTCTTGCCTAACCTTGTGTGGGGGAACTGCCCTTAGAATTTGGTACTGTTTGATATGTGAGCGTCGTGTACGTGAGGTGATGAGTACGTACACGAGCTATTTGTTGTAAAACTCTATTTTTCACTAAGTCATAACTTGTTTTCTCCTTATTTGAAACACACTAGCATATGTAACTATCCTGTTTAGACTAGAATAGTATGCCTACTTGTTTAGCTGCCTATCTGAACTCTGTGCAGCATGGTTAGTGAAATTACCTGTTTTTCCTTGATTTGAACTTAGTCTAAACTATAGGATTTCTTGTTGTAACTGTTATTTCGGTTGGTTGCGCTGCATATTTACTTTGGGACTAAAGAATGGTATTTCGGGAGATCCCCTTGTACTACATATTTACTTTGGGACTACAGAACGGTATTCCGGGAGATCCCCCTGCTCAGCATATTTATTTTGGGACTACGAAACGGTATTCCGGGAGATCCCCCTGCACATTTACGTTTGGGACTATGAGACGGCATCTCGGGAGATCCCCTGTTGTTATCACTATGTTCTGAGATGTTGTCTTTCATTGATTCTATTCCTCTTAAATTTCCGTATTTATTTTTACTGCGATATTTTATTCTGTCTTATTTCATTATATTTATACTAGTAGGGCCCTGACCTGATCTCGTCACTACTCGATCGAGGTTAGGCTTGGCACTTATTGGGTACCGTTGTGGTGTACTCACGCCCTTTCCTGCACATATTTTTTCTGTGCAGATCCAGGATCATCTTACCAGCCTTATCACTAGTTGCAGTTGTTACTGCTTATTGAAGACTTCAAAGTACATCTGCCCGCGTCCACAGATCTTCGAAGTCCCCCTCTATTCCCCTGTGTTCATTTTGCCTTCTTTTCTGTAGAAATGATGTATAAAACGGTTAAGACTTCTTAGTAGCTTGTGACTTACGGTATTCCGGGTATTGAGAATTATTTTGTACATTTTCAGAGGTGTTAATTGTATATACCGAGTGGCATTCAGTTGCTTATTAGATATTTATTATTGTTAGTAGTTAATGTTCATGCTTTTATTTCATTTCTGCAAAGTGTTAGGCTTACCTAGTCGTAGAGACTAGGTGTCGTCACGACAGTTCACGGAGGGAGAAATTGGATCGTAACAAAATAATATTTTAAAAAAGAACCAAGCTAACATTTCATGTTCTTTGTTAAAAGTCACAACCGTTCCTTTTTGTATTCCATTTACGAAATGGAGATGAAAAGCTACACACCGTATACAAATGAGATCCATAGTGAAAAACAAATGACAAGCCCATAGCCATTCATTAGTTCTTAAAAGTTCTTTAATTTTGCGCTGGAAAATGGAAGTTAACAATGATCTTCACACCATCCTCGACAAACAACATCGTGAGACATTTTACGATGGAGTTTCAACGTGTTTAGATAAAGGAGATTTAATTAGTTTTCAAAGAAAAAAATTATATGTGTCAGTATCATTAGAAGTTTCGACATGTTTCATTATTTACAATGGTATTTTGATTTTCTCATTCACGTAATGTCCTTGTAGTTTTAATTAACCTTCTCTAATGGAAAAGGACATTTCCTATATTTATATTTTTTTACTTATAAAGTATTTGTTGATGAACTTTATGTCTTTCTCTGCACATACTATTTTATTGAGATTCTTTTTAGATTGACAGAGTTAAGATACTTTCAATTTCCAGTTTCATTGATAAACATAGAATAAAAACTTTTAATATATTTCTTTTTTGATTTATGCTTTAGAGTGATTTGTATTAAAATTTGTGAAAACTCATGAATTATTTAATATTCTGCCATTACAATAATAAAAATATTATGAATGATAATATTGATATGTATTAAGCACTAAGTTATTAAATTAAAAAAGTTAGTATGTGTAAAAAAATTTAATAGTGCATAAGTTTGAGATACATGAATAGTTTGTTATAAATGCATAATTTTTTAACAGACGAATTATTCGAAAATGATTTGGTAATCTTCGTATTTGTAATGCCGAGAAACTACAGTAGCAAGAATTCTATCGACAAAAACTTGCAATCATTGTGCGCTTAATTAATTTTGAATTTTGAGATTTGAAATTTATTCAACCATAGATTTAGTTAAAAAAAATCATATCTATTTAGTTTCTCCAGCAGCCAATTAGTGATATAGCTTGTACACCATAAAATGTAAATAAGTAAAAAAAAAAAGTTACATGTATCTGATTAAACTTTGATTGTTTATGTTCATAGATTTAAACGACATTCAATCATTTTGATTTTGACAAACAAGTTAGCATTTGATGTTTCATATTGATCAATACTCACATAAACTTGTATTTTATTCTTATTATTAACTTGTATTTTATTTTTTCATTTATAATTATCTATTCAAAGCTTTGTATGGCCATATGAATATTAACTAACAACTGTACTGTGTGAATTTGGTATACATGTGTGCCACCCGTATCGAGAAACTAATTATTATAAAGGTGAGAAACCCAAAAGTTAAAAGTTAAATTACTAAAATACTCTTCTAAATTAATAGTTTTATTTAGGCATTTAATTATATTAAAATAATATTAAAAATAATATTTAAATAAAAGAAAAAAATTAATTTAAAGTCCCTCCTCTAAAAGTTGTGTTATTTCAGAGAATAACTATAAATGCTATTAATTTTTTCAAAAAGCAAAATATATTAAGATGACGACTTTGTGGTATAATAGAATGTTAAAGGGACACATATTTCTTTACGTTGTCCAACTGCTATTTTCTTGATTTTTAATATGTAGAAAAGGTTTCATGCACATTGTTGGAAATTCTCTCAGAAAATGATTATGGGATGGATGGCTTTCAGTATTACAAGCATTTTGAGTGCCTAAGGCTAAGGTGTAACAGTGTACGAGTCCCAAAGAAAAAAATGTGAATGAGTTTTAATTTCGAAATGAACAGCTTTGTTGATCTAAAGAAATTTGAATCTCTTTATGTTAACAGTCGGAAATGCCTTCATCATTGCCACATGGCTAAAACACAAAAGAGAAACTGTAGACTCTTTCCTAAGTATGTGAAACGATGCAAAGAAATTTACGGGGTTGCGTTTCCTCGGAAATGACCTTTAACTCCAGTAAGTTTATGCTTCAATTTCTTTCCTTGAACTATTTTGGAGATTAAAACGAGAGATGAATATGATAGGAGGAGATGTCCAAAAACCAATAGTATTAATTATATTCAGGAATGAAAATATACAAATTAAAAAAAATGTAATGAAGAAGTTACAAACTTTAAAAACACATGTCCAATACATGATTTTCAAGGATACAGTTGGATCAAAACTTTGATTAGTAGTATATAGTAGTATATCTTTATCAATTGTGAGATAGTTCCTGCTTCTGTAATTTTAAAGCTCAAGAAGGTGTTTATAGGTGAAGTGAAATATATGGATTAGAATTTTTTTCTTTATTGAGTTAAGTTATATAATACGTATATTTTTTCTAAAGAATTTTGCATTCATTGAATTACAATACACGCGCAATGTCCGTGCCGAAAAACTAGTAAACCATAAAAAGGAGGAGAATGGTAAAAGTTCCTTAACCGAAATTTAACTATCATAATGCAATTAGTCTACTATATTTCCTAAAACAAATTTTGGAATGCTAATTAGACGAATTTCTGTTGTAACTTTTTTCCTTCGTTCTATTATTTTTCCTTATTGCACAATGATTCTTCAAATTCTAAACATCGCTAAACCGAAAGGGTACTTTGGGTTGGGGTGGTGGATGGGGATATGGGAGGAATCGGTCTCTTGACTACGAAAAATTGCTAATTTTAGGATAACTGCATTTCAATCTTCATTCTAAGTTTTTGTTTCACATGATGATATGACCTTCAATAATTGAATTTCTCAAATAATAATGATAATATGTAACTTAGCTAAAAGTAACTCAAATGGTGCAAGCTTTTGTAGGTTGATGCACTGAAAGCAAATTGGAGTTTTTACTGATTTAGTTATACTGTATTAATTGCGTTTAAAATTTAAAGATAATTTCAGAGATCTCCTTCTAGTTTGATTTTGTAATAGTAACTTCACCAGTAGTTTAAAATATTATGCTGATATTCTTTATTCTAATTTCTTTGTAACACTTATTTGTACCTATTTATATGTCGTTAATAATGTAAAAATATGATTGTAGACATGTGAATTTTATGGGATTAAAGTCCATATTAAATTTGGATAAATTTCTATATTCAAAGTAATATCAAGCCCAAACCAAGATTAAATTATTTAAGTTTAAAAGATGGATTTAAATTAAAGTCTAAATTTATTGGGCTAGTTCATTGAGTTGTTCTCCAAAAAACGAGTCCGCTCCAATAGCCCAAGGTCCATGCCAATCAAATGACATGGCGCGCTAAGTCAAATTAAGGACCATTAAAATCATGCGAGCCACATGCATAAGTGATGTAGTATACCAAGTTAATGTTAGAACCAATCAAATATCGTCAAGTATTAAAATGATATGGTTCAACCAATCATATGTAGTCTTATCACATAGCTTTAGTGATAGCTTTAATGACTCATATGAAATTGAAGGAGAAAGAGTATGTATTTATCACAAACTACCTTCCCCTATAAGTCTATAACTATAAATATGGGTCTCCATAAAATCAAAAGAAGATCATCAGAAGATCAATCAGAAGAAGAGGAGAAGTCCATTAATCAAGAAGTTTTCCTCTCTGGTGTGATCCGCAAGTCTTTCATTACTCAAGAAGTTTTCCTCTTCATTGATGATCTGTAAGTCTTTGAAAAATCAAGAAGTCTTCGTCTTCATTGGTTTCTGCAAGTATTTCATACACTCCACGTCCATGATCAAAGTCTGGCTCCACATCCATGATAAAAATTCAACCAATAAGTTTAGTCCTGCAATTCAAGAATAAGCCCTTAAAATCAACAGCCGTGAGGAGAAGAATCAGATGTCTATATATTTCGATTTAGGATAGTCTTGAAATTATAACCCACATAATTTATTGAAATACAAAGATTGTTATTTGTCACTATTTTTGTTGTCTTGATTATTTATTTTTCAGGAATAAAATTTAGTTGTTACAAAATTTGGAACACCCAATAGGACTATCTTTACCTCTCATCTCTTCTCTTCCAAGTTCAAAACTACTAAGAAGACCGCAATGAAGATCTACTCCAGATCCCATACTACTAAGGAGGCTCAATCAAAAATGAATTTAAAGTTACCTTGAAGATTGCTGGCCAAATCAAGAGGAGTGAAGCTGAAATAGTAGGAATACAAGTGTTGCAAGTACCATTCAAGTCATCTCATGTTTCCGCATAATATTCTTTGAAAGAAGGGATATCCTCTTCATACATGCTAGAAGAAGGGAACAGTATTGCTCATGTGGTAGAAAGAACTTTGGCTTGACTCAGCCTGTCAAAAGAACGATATTTCTTGTCCAACAACAACCGCATCATGCAAAAAGAAGATAATATTTTGAGCTCTAGATTTACTCCAGTATTCCATCATATCCCTCTTCAATCAAAGCTTTATTTAAGTAATGATCCATACTATTCTTCACCCTCTACAGTGGTCATACAAGCGATAGTAGTTGAAGCTTCTACCTTAAAAGAATAACTTGCAAATTTGATGAAAACAATTGAAAGCTTGTCAAAACATATACAAGATCCTAAACTTTTCAAATTGACAAATAAAGTGGAGAGCATTGTAGAACGAAAATTTGCATAAGCACCTTAGAAGCTTCATGAGTCACAAGAGAAAAAAGAGCCCTCCGCAAACCAAGCAATAACAACCAAGGAGATCCAAGTTTGCACGGTAGGTCTGATTCCTATTGAGTAATTGAAAAACTTTATCATTGAGGCTATTTAAGATAAATCTGAGCCACAAGCCAAATATTTTCTCATAAATGCAAAGCCGTATACGCAAAGAATTGACAACTTGAAGATGCATGTGGTTTATCAACTTCCTCAGTTGCAACAATTTAATAGCAAGTGTCACAACCCAAAATCCCAACCCATGGGGTAATGATGGTGCCTAACACCATTTGTTAGGCAAGCCAACACAAAATAATGAATATGCAAGAAATGAAACCAACAGTTAACAACTAGATGATAATATAGAGTAACAGTAACTTAGAAGAGTACATAGCAAGTTTAAAGATCAACACTAATGATCAACCATCCTAAGACGTGGAGTCACAAGTGCATGAGCTACTAGAGTTTGCTAAATACATTATCCTGAAAGAAGTACAATACTGCCTGGTAAATATAAATAGTACAAAAGAAATAAAAAGAAGACTCTAAGGCCTGCGAATGGTAAGCAGCTGCACCTCGAGTCGTCTGTCTAGTATCGGTAAGCACCTCTCGGGACTCTGCTGGTATCAGTGTCTAAATCTGTACAAGAAGTGTAGAAGTATAGTATGAGTACAACTGACCCAATGTACTCTATAAGTGTCGATCCTAACTTTGATGAGGTAGTGACGAGGCTAAGACAAGACACATACATAAAAAGCTCTACCAAGGATTGCCAAGCATTTGGTATGAAGTTTCCTCCTCATGTGCAGTTAAGTAACAAGAAATAATGAGAGGAGAAATAAAATATCAAGTATAATAACAGGATAACAACACGTGAGAGAGTTAATAACTACATAAGTAAAGAGATATAAAATGAGAAAATAAAGAAAGGTGTTATTAAGTAAATCACAACTCATACTTCTATAATAACTCTGAACAAACCTTTCAAAGATAATTACAAAGCCATAAAGTCAAGTCCTCAGTCTGAATAGCAAAATAAAGAACAACAATACCAATAAACAGCACGGCAACACCCTTCGTACTTTTACTCTCATCCTCACGATATAATATAATAGCTAGCACGGAAATTCCCTTCATGCATATTCTCACCTTCTCTCAAGCACGGTAAGACCCTTCATGCAATGATATTGATATATGAAGAAAATACGAAAACACGCTTCCTGCACGATCACTCTCTCACACAAGCACGGAAATATGCTTCGTGCAGTTCACTCTTCCTCACCAAGCATCACATATAATACAGTACCAAGAAAAGTGGGAAGCATAAACAACATCAAAAATAATATTTGAATATAGCTCGACATATGAGAATTCACCAACACCTTCGCACCATTAATCAAATCAGCAATTCAAAAGTCTCAATGCCCAATATTTCATTAAGCTTAACATAGATAAATACATGGATAAGAGAAATCAAAGAGTTTCACAATGTATCTCGAGCATGGAAAGACATAATACAAAAAATAACATAGTAGTAATAAAGCTATCTCTACCCGCGTGCTTAACCCTTGGCCAACGCATACACACTTGTCACCCGGCATATACGCCGCCCCCAACACTTAAATTACATAAAAAATATAATCAATTACACATTTATTTCCTAAATAAAGGTTAACCAAGATACTTACCTCTTTCTAGAACAAGATCAACAATCCAACAACGGCCTTCCCTTAAGAACAAGCCTCCAAACTAGTAGAATCTAGTCAATTATTACTCAAATAAGTAAAAACAAGCTTTAGAAACTACCATAGTATAAAAAAGGTTCAATTTCTAACATATTTGAAAAAGTTAACAAAAGGTCAACCCAGGCCCATATGGTCTAAATCTGAAATTAAGACCAAATCCTGATTACCCATCCACCTCAGAGTCCAAATATGTGATTTGTTTCGAGATCCAACCTCAATTTGTGGTCTAAACCTCAAATTTATAAAATCCTAAATTATTACCCAAAACCCTTACTTCTACTATATGAAATCTTAGATTTAATAGATAAAATTCATGAAAAGGTAATGGAAATTGAACAAAAATAAGTTAAAATTACTAACCTATGAAGTTGAAAAACATTGCTATCCAAAATTGCCTCTATGTGTAGTCTAGGTCTCAAAAATAGTGTCTAAATAAACTAAGTCCCAAAATCGCAACCTTTTACCGAGCTGCAAGTTTCACAATTACAAACTCTTGTTCGCAATTGTGATGTTCGCAAAAGCGAACCACTGAGCGCAAATGTTAATAGTGTTTGAGCCCCTCTGATGTTGTAAATGTGACTAAGCCTTCATATTTGCGAAGGACCAGTCACACGCAATAATGATCAAAGCTTCGCAGATGCGAAGTTGTCCCTCTACCCTTCTGTGTTACAATTGTGACATAAGGCTCGCAATTACGAAGCCCGACCACCTCGCAAAAGTGATCAAAAGTTTGCAAATACGAAGCTACCCAATACCTACCCAACATCTCAAATGCGAGCTATCACTCGCAAGGCTCGCATTTGCGAACAGACTCTTGCAAATGCAAGGTCTGCAGCACCAACAATCCCAATTCCTAGTAAATCAGTCTGGAACTCATCCGAAACTCACCTGAGTCCCTCGGGCACCAATCCAAACATCCACACAAGTATAATAACATCTTATGAACTCGCTAGTAAGCTGAAATTATCAAAATAACATCTAAATTAAAGAATCAAACACTAAAACTCAAAGAATTTCATAATTCAACTTCAAAATTTCAACTTTTCACAATAAGTGCTGAAACGGCCTTGGGTCACCCAGGACCCCAACCAAATATGCGTACAAGTCCAAATTCATCTTATAAATCTACTGTAATCATCAAAACAGTGATCTGATGTCGTTTACTAATATATTTGAATGTGCTCAACTCTAACTATTTTCAAGTTCAAGAATCAAGTTTTCTCTAAGAATTGACATCTAGACTTTCCGGAAATTAACACGTACCATGCACCCAATTCATAAATCATCAAATAGTACTATGAAAGGTTTCAAATCATAAAAATGGAAGCTAGTAATCAAAACAGCCTATTGGGTCGTTACATTTTCCACCTCTAAAAGAAATGTTTGTCCTAGAACGGACATGGCAATGTACCTAGACTGGCAAAAATGTGCGGATATCTACTCCTCATATCGGACTCGGACTTCCAAGTAGCCTCCTCAGTCGGCTGACCTCTCTAACACACTTTCATAGAAAGAATATCCTTAGATCTCAACTTTTGAACCTGCCAATCTAGAATAGCCACCGGCTCTTTCTCATAAGTCAAATTCATATCAAGATGCTTTGTTGAAGTCGAAAGCATGTGATCCATCTTCATGGTACTTCCGAGATATAGAAACATGAAATACCAGGTGTACCCCTACTAGACTAGGAGGCAATGAAATCCTATAAGCAATCTCCCAACTCTCTCCAAGATCTCAAATGAGCCAATAAACCTCAGGCTCAACTTACCCTTCTTCCCAAATTGCATCATGCCCTTCATAGGCGAAAATCGGAGAGGAACCTTATCACACTCCATGTAAACCACATCACGAATCTTCCTATCCGGGCTCAACAATCTAGCCTCATCGAGCTCAAACCAGCCAACTAGAGAACAACATTTCCTCCCATGTAAGGCCTCATATGAAGCTATCTGAATACTCGACTAATAGTAATTGTTGTAAGAAAACTTTGCTATAGGTAGAAAATGGTTCCACTGACCCCCCGAAATCAATAGTTTATGCCCTAAACATATCCTCCAAAATCTGAATGGTCGCTTGGACTGCCCGTTCGTCTGAGGGTAAAAGTAGTACTCAACTCAACCTACGTTCCCAACTCACACTGCACAATTCTCTCTAAAAGTGTGTGCCCGCCAAACCCAAAAAGCTCCAAATCTCTATAGCTGAAGTAGGTCTAGTCCAATTTCAAACTGCCTCTACTACTTTGGGATCCACCTTGATACCATCAGAAGACACAACATGACCCAAGAAGGCAATTGAATCCAACGAGAACTCACACTTCAAAAACTTGGCATATAGCTAACGATCCTTCAAAGTCTGAAGTGCAATCCATAGGTGTTGCTTATGCTCCTCCCTCTACGGGAGTAAACCACAATATCGTTAATGCAGACAATCACAAAGGAATCCAAATAAGGCTTGAATACTCGGTTCATCAAATACATGAAGGATGTTGAAGCATTAGTCAAGCCAAATGACAATACTAAAACCATATAATGACCATATCGAGTCCTAAAAGTTATCTTAAGGACATCTGATGCCCTAATCATCACATGATGGTAGCCAAATCTAAAATAAATCTTGGAAAATATGTTGGCACACTAACACTGGTCAAATAGATCATCGATCATAGGTAATAGATACTTGTTCTTGATGGTAACCTTGTTCAATTTCCTATAGTCAATGCACATCCTCATCGATCCATCCTTCTTCTTAACAAACAACACTGGCGCACCCTAAGGTGAAATACTCAGTCTAGTGAATCCCTTATCAAGCAAATCTTGTAACTGATCCTTCAATTTCTTCAACTCGGTTAGAGACATACGGTACTATGGAATAGAATAGGCTGAGTGCCCTGAACCAAATCAATGTAAAAGTCAATATCCCTGTCGGGTGTCACGTCTGGAAAATCTGCGGGAAATACCTCTGGACACTCCCTCACAACCGGCACTGAATCCACCAGAGAAACTCCACACTAGAATCCTGGATGTAAGCCAAATACACCAAACACCCCTTCTCAACCGTATGC